GAGCATTTAGTCCAGCAGGAGAGGTCAGACACATTCACAAGCCAGCAGAAACTGGAAGATGCTGGGAAGAGGTAAATATGGTGTGTTTATGAAGGAGCCGAGAAGAGAGCGATTGCTTCAGGCTGGGGCAGTGGGTAAGGAGTGGGGAGGCATGAGCTTTGACACAGGGGATGATGTCAAGTGTTTCCGTTTGTCTGGAGACAAATTTGGCAAGGCAGGTGGAGCCTGTGGATGGCCAAGAACTCCCAGGTGAGGACATTGGGCTTGATTTGGAAGCGTCTGCACAGAGGGGACCTTTGGAGGGCCCATCTGGTGGCAGGGTAGGCTGGATCTGAGTGAGAGGGCATGGAGGCAGGGGGGCCACTTAGAATCAAAGGTGATGGAGGTCTGGATGAGCACCTGGGTCAGGCAGGAGGAACGGTGGGAGCAGGGGCCGTCTTTGAAACTGCCCTGGGCCTTCCCAGAGACCAGCTGGAAAGGGCCTCTGCTCTGCGGGCCTGGGGTTGGACAACGGCAGCACAGGAGGCACGGTAGCCACGGTCCCCACTACCTGTCTCACAGGCCATGTGCCACCAATCCCAGTCTGCCTGCGCTGGGAAGCAGCACCAGCCCACCTCCTCTGCAACACCTGCCAGGCTGCTCCGGCCCAGGGAACCTCGAGCCTTCTCGGAACTCCTATTTGGCCAACTCCTGCACAACTCACAGTTTCTGTGAACTCCTGGCCCCCTCCCAAGTGCTGGGTGTGTGCTAGGAGCTCGGAGGATACCCTCTGGTTTATTGCCTTCATTAGGTGTCACACGCTGCCACCAGGGCTCCTTGAGAGGCAGCGAGGGTGATAGAAGCACCTGGGCCACAGGGGCCGCCGGGTGCCAGCTGCGTTTGGGCGAGTGGCTGCATCTCTCCAGTGCCACTTTATTCTTCTCTGGAAGGGGATGATGGTCGTGTCATCCCCTTGGGCTTATCACCGGTTCCAGTGGGTCAGCCTGTGGCGAGCACTTGGCAGGGAGGCAGCACCTGTGAAGCCGGCTGCTTTCCCTTCCCGGTTTGGTAGCTCAGGGTCAGGCCGAGCATGTGCGGGAATATTTTCTAATTTGTGGACTCCTCCTAAAAGCCTCAAAAACTCCTGGCTAAATGCCATTGGTTTTGTCTGGCTCTTTCCCTGCTCATCTTTTCTGTACCAAGCCACGTGTTGGGGTGGTCCCCGCTGTTGCCATCTGCACCATGGACACTTGTGAGGGACATCCCCACTTATTTGGGGTCTTAGCCTCTGCCAGGGAAAGGGGAGTGTGCAGAGAAGTAGACAGCTGGCTTCTAGGCAATGCGGTGCTTAACCTTGGGGTTGGAACAGAGAAATGTCTTGTTTGTGTTTCCATGAACAAGTAGGGACAGCTGGCCCACAGATAGCAGGCTAGGTCAGCTGGGGTTGCGTTGGCTGCTGGCTCTAAGCAAATCCTGGCTCTGGTGAGGTGGGCAGAAGAAAGATAATGTACCTGGAAAGCCAGAGAAAAGCCACCTGAGAGCCGGTGTCAGGCCTGGGCTGTGCAGAGGCCACTGGGGGAGGCGGCAGTGCGAAAGCTGCTCCCCGGGACCTGGAGGACGGCACCGTCGGCAAACCCCAGGATTGGGACTTTACCAAGCAGGTGAGGAGAGGGGGCCCATGTTCCTTACAGAGGCTTCTCTGCTTCACGGAGAGGTTTCTCTTGGGTTCCTCAACAAGCAACTCCCAGGTGTGAGCTAAAATCAGATTTCCTATGCAAAAATTGTTTGCCTGGAACTTTTCAGACCCACCTAAATTGCATAAATGGAAGCAGGCTTGTTTTTCTGCATTAAAAGACAAAACAGCACTAACACCCATCCCAAGCCAGGTGCTGGCAGCCCCTGGGGGGACTTGGTATTTTCTGAGCAGAAGGTTCCTGGGGGCCACCTGCACCTGCTTACCCTGAAGGCCAGTCTGGTCCCTGGCCAGTCCAGGGATCCAAACCCTTGACCTTGGTGTTTATATTTCTGCGCTGTAACCAGCCAAGCTAACTGGCCAACCTATTCTGGCAACCTTTGACCTAAGTTCAGATTCCATTCCCTGTTCTTCATTTTTTGTGCCATGGACCCATCTTTGACATCCTGGTGAAGCCTATAGAACTCTTCTCAGTGGTTTTAAATGCAAACAGGATTCAGAGGAAACCAGTTATATTGACTTATCATTATCAGAATATTTAAAAAAACAAGCTTGTGATATAGTAATCTGTGTGCTTTGTTGAAGCATTAAATAAACAGCCTTGCAGTAGGTCTAGTAACTATTGTAATTTTAAAGTATTGATGAGCATAAATATTTCAAGATATCTGCAACTCTGTACTGTGAAATGAAAATATCTGTGATTCTGTTGATGACCAAGGCACAGGCACTGTGGTATGTTATCTACATTCATAATTAGAGGAAATAGAAAATTTTAGCTAGAGGTTCATGAAAATATAGAATTTTTTTCACATCCAAGTTCACAGATCCCCTATTAATAACATTCAAGACAAGCAATGACCAGAGGAGGTTGTTTTCATGAATCCTCTTTTTGTATCAACCATGACAGCTCCCTGTCCCGGAATTTATACCCCTCTCCTGGTCCTTAGTACCCCAGGAGCTCAAGGGGGCATTTTAGACGAGCTTAAACATCTGAGTACATGTATGAAAGGGCCCACGGTGCCTTGTGTCCCCACCCCCAAGGTAGGGCTCTGGGTTCTGTTATTCCCATGTGCTGTGGGTTGAATTGTCTCCCCTAAAAGGATATGTTGAGGTCCTCAACCCAGTACTTCAGAATGTGACCTAATATGGAAATAGGGTCATTGCAGATGTAACTAGTTAAGATAAGATCATACTGGAGTAGGGCAGGCTCAATCCAATATGGTGAGTGTCTTTATAGGAAGAAGAGAGAGATACAGGGGGAAGATGGCCACGTAAAGACAAGAGACACAGAGACAAGAACACCTTGTAAAGATAAAGACAGAGATTGGAGTGATGCAGCTGCAAGCCAAGGAATTGCAAGGATTGCCAGCAAACACCAGAAGCCGAGAGAAAGGCATGGGATAGATTCTTTCCTAGATCCTTAGGAGAGTGCTTGGCTCTGCTGACCCCTTGATTTTGGACTTCTAGCCTCTGGAACTGTTTTAAACAGCCCAGCTCGTAGGGATTTGTTATGGCAGCCTTAGAAAACAAATACTGCGTGGTCCGCTGGGGAATGCAGCACTGCCTTGGGCCAGGCAGCCAGTGCTCACGGCTTCCCTCCTTCCTGTGCATCCATCTGCAGGTTGGTTCTTGCCCGAAGAGTCTGGTTACCCTGTAGTCGGCCGCCTTCAACTCTATGGTTGCCTTGATTTGGGAGTTCTACCTGCCTCATTACAGGCCTTTCAGAAATGACAAAAGCAAGCCGTGCCTCTGGGGACATGTAGGCAGAGCTGTGGCTGTTAAAATCGTAGGGCTGGCACTTGCAGTGAGAGGCGGAGGAAGTAGGATGTTTTGCGTCTCATTTTGGCAGAGGCTTTGCATAGCATTTCAGCCTGGTGATGAGAAAACAGCTTTAGTGAGACAACGTGACAGGCAGGGATTTGGGGTCCACTGGAATGGCATTTTAGGCTATTAGAGGTTCCCAAGGATTTACTTTCCTAGATAAAAAAAAAAGACCCTCCAGCAATAAGTGAGACCCCCTACGTGTGCACCACGTGAGGCCTTGTGGGGTACAAAGAAGCACAACCCCCGCTGGGCCCTCCAGCAGAGCAACTGAGCTGCCGGGCACGTGCCTGCTGCCAAGTCAGCTCTCATGCAGGTTTGCTAATGACTGAGGGCAGTGAAACCAACAGTAGCTGTTTGCTCGTCTTGCTGAGGATGATAATAGACGCTTACATCTGTGACTGATTGGGGATGCGCCATGGGATGGGTCATGGGGTATCCAGGATCAACTGCTCCTTGAAGGGCACAGAGAAGAGAGGCTACAGGAGTCTGAGCAGGGGCTGGGGTCTCAGAGGGCTCCACCCAAGAGGAGGAATCTGAGTGGAGCCATGAGGACAGGTGGGGTGCCCTCGTTTAACTGTTCCTAAACCATCCTTTGAAAATGATTAAAAAAATACAGCCACCCATAATCCCAAATCCTACTCTCCTAACACACAACTCTGCATCTCCACGTTGGCACACGATTGTCCTTTTGTGCCACAGCGTGTCTACCGTTTGGTTCCACTTCCTCTACCTCATCTTGCTGTGTAACTTTTCTAGTCATGTGTTGTTTTTGATATTAACTGTGACATTGACTGTCCCTGGATGTGCCATTATTGACCATTCCTCAAGAGTTGGAGTCCTTTCTAAATTTGTCATGGTTATAGTTGGTGTAAACCACTTTGCAGAGTGGGCCTGAGGCAGGACAGGTGAGACCTGCTCAGTGGATGGACCTGTGTGTGGTTAGGCAGGAAGATGGTGAGGGAGGTGGGGGTCACACTGTCGGGACTTAAATTCCAGGCCAAAGAGTCTGGACGTTACTTCGTGGGCTGCAAGGAACTCTTGGAGGTTAGTATTACCTGAAGGTGTACTGGGCACCGCCACATTCTAAGCACTGTGCTACTAGCCCAGGGACACCGAGATGCATCCCCAGGGCCGTAGTCTTTATAGGGGTAACAAAGGTGAAGACCCTCTAGGATACAGGTAGAATGAAATGCTGAGGGGAGGGAAGGGGGGTCAATTTAGAGAATTCCCAGAAGAAGTGGTGCTGGGCATTTGTACGTAGGTAGACAGTATGGAAAAGAGGTGTTCTAGGTGAGAGAACGTGGGAGACAAGGCTGAGGGGCCGGAATGCATCCAGGTCTCTGTAGCTGGAGCGTGAGTTTTGTGGAGTGATGTGATGGCAGGTGAGGCTGGAAGGGGAGTTTGGGCCAGATCGTGGGTGGCCTTGAGTGCTGCTTAGGTGTTTTCTCCTTTGGCAGTGGGGAGCCATTGAAGGTTGTTGAGTAGAGGAATCACACAGCCTGACCTAGCTGTAATGACAGCTTCTCTGGCTGTACATGCGAAGGTGAATTCCAGGAGGTCCGAAGGCCGATTCGGCAGCTTTTGCCACAGTCTAGGTAAGAGAGGAGGAGGATCGGAGTTGCAAAGAGGAAAGCAGAGTGGCCCTGAGCTGGCAGCTCTGGCAGGATGCCTGATGACGGGGTGGAGTTTCAGGGACATTTGTCAGACGCTGGCTTCCCCAGGGCTCCTGTCTCATCGCCCGAATCCACAGGGGCCCTGCCTTGTGCATAATCGGCCCGAGTCACTTCTGAGTGAGTGGTTCCTTGGGGTCTCAGACAGGCCTTTGAGGCTTCCTGTCTGAATCTTTCATCCTCGGGGCATGGCTGACAGGGGGAGGAAGCGTTGATGGAGGGGTTCACCTTATCTCACTGCCATCATCATGTTTCCCGTATCATAGTAACAGAGCAGATGTCAGGGCCTGTTGCTAAGGGTTCCCTGGGATATTAATACCTGCTGTAGAACTGAGGGCTGCTTTTACACGGTGTCTTTGAGGCCTCGGGAAGCACTGGCTTGGTGGCAAGTATTCTTTTATCTTTGTCTGGCTTTTTCTCCTTTGAACCCCTCTCTCCTCCCCTGCTACTCAGCCTGTGCACAGCCAGCTGTCTTGAGATGTCAGGCTCAGCAGTAGCGAACGTGCAGCCGTGCTCCCCTCCTGCGCTGGGGCAGACTTGACTAAGGGATCAGCATCCAGCCTCTGACCCCTTTCAAGCGCAGCTCTCTGGGCACCCGCTCAGATTTGGCACTTGGGATGAAGCTTGTTCCCAGCCCTGCAGAGGCTCTGGGCCCCCTCCTCAGGGCCCTCCTCTGGCCAGTGGGTGGGGAGGGGAGTGGGCTTTGCATGCCTCGTGTGTCTCCTGTTTGCCTCCCTCATCTGGTCTTTGGGCTTTTCCATCACAAGTGGAAAATCAAACTCTGAACAGTTCTGGGAGGGGGTTTGGCTGGATATTGAGGTCAGGGTTGGGATTTTAATTGCCAGATGCCATTTGTATCAGTTATATATTGCCATGATAATGCTGCATAACGACCATGCCCAAACTTGCTCCTGTGTCTGCAGGCTGGCCACTCTTGGCTGGGCCATGCATTTCATTCTGAGCGGCAGGATTCAGCAGCCCAGAGAAAACCACTGCATCTTGTGTGCAGGATGTACTTGAGTTCCCTCTGCGTGGCTGTGAGGAACCTGTGTCCTGCACTTGCCTTTCCATGTGGCTGTCCCCTCCTGGACACGTGGTTTCCTTCAGCCTGTCCACTCACCTGCCTCTTTCCCGCTGTCCTTCCTGTGACATTTCTTCCATTATCACCTTAGAGATGGGCTGTCCTGGGCACCCCCACCCTCGTGCCTGGGCTTCCTTTATCATAAGGCTTGGGGGTCACAGTGTGTATGTGGTCTTGGGAATGAATGTGTTTCTCTGGGGGGTCTCTCGTGGGGTCACACTTGTGACTCCCTCTAGGTGGACCCCTCCCTGGCCAAACAAATTGGCTGGTTTCAGGAGTGCAGGTCCATGGTCTGCTGCCCCTTCTGGTCGGATCCTGGGGCTCAATGAAATGCATTTGTGCCGCACCCTGGGAAGTCTGTGGGCTCAGTTGTATCAATGAAAGTGTTTCTGAAATAAGATCAAGGAGGCGAAAATGCCAGGGTCTAAAGATGGTAGAGAGAACTTCACCAGGGAAGAGGCACTGCCCTCGCTGTTGTGGTGGCCTTTGTCCCCATCCTGGCCCCAGTAGATGGCAGAGACTCTGTGGCTGTGTCATGCTTGTCTAAGGGCAGATTGCTTTGCCCACCAGATATCTTTTCCAAAGTCTGGTACATGTTAGGGACAGCTGCAGGAGGCTAATGTTTTTCACACACTGTTATAGCTACTCTAAGTTCTGATAGGCTGGGGGTCAAACAGCAGTTTTCCTGGAGTAATAACTGTTTTGTGGCTCTGCAGCATTCACAGGAGCGTGATCTGGTCACATCCTCATCTAACCCTGTGACAGGGTTGAGGCCTTGTGCCTCTGGACAGGTGTGCCGTGGCCACTTGGTCACTTCGGCTCTAACAGCTTCTGAGCCCATGATGTCTGCACAAGAGGTGGGAGCCTTCTTTTAAGCAGATGCAAATGTTTGCTAAAAAAAACCTTTTGTTTTTTTAGCGATTCTAATCATTATTGAAACCAGCTAATTGGTGTCATACGGACAGGTTCTTCCATCTGTGAGTTCTGAGTTTGAAAATAGAAAATCTACATTAGGCCAACAGGACACAGCAGCCTCCATCGGGACATTTTGTGGTGGACAGTTCTAGATGCCATTTGCAGAGAGTGGGCACTCAGCCAGCAACTGCAGCTTTGAGCGGCTGTGAACGTTACTGTAGAAAAGTTGTCTCAAAAATACATTACAATAAAATGCACTCCCTTTCCCTTCTGCAAATGTATTCTAAGGAAGTCATCAGAAATGGGCACAAAGATTTATCTCCCAGGATGTCCATTTTAGTGTTCAATACAGCAAAACTGGAAATAATCTATGTGCCCCCAAACAGGAAAATAAATGGTAAAATATATTACATCCAGAATACTAAGTTTTAAAGTCATATTTTTGAAGAATTTTAATAATGTGGGAAATTACAACATGGTAAGAAAACAGTGAGTAAACACGTATATGTAATAAGAACCCAATTTTATTTAAAATCCATGCATAAATACCTAGGAGAGATTGAAAGGCATTACATTAAGATGTTAAGAGTCATTAGGGTGGGGTTACATGATGAGAGCATTTAGGGTGTTTTTCTCTATAACATAATATCCTACGGTGCCCAGGAGACGACCACATGAGGTTACGTAACGACTTGCTCGGTGGAGCTGAGTCCACTGTAACTGCAGTGTTTGCCTGCAGTGACAAACACCCAGGGCGATGGGCTTTTGACTTTAGGGAGAGAACTGGATTCCTTCTAAGAATGTGTTTGTTTTTACAGATCCGTCTCAGAAAGTTGCTTGGGGCTTATGAACCTCCATCCACTAGAAATTTGCTGAGGAAATCATCCTCAGGATGATGTGGGGACTCCTGTTCCCCGTCTCCACAGAGGGTCCCCCTAGCCCCTCGCTGCAGGGTTTTAGGAAGAGCTCCTGAGCGTCTGCCCACTAGGCAGGCTGGCTGCGGGGTCCAGCTTTCCTGCAGAGGCCTTGGGGGTGCACTGGCCCCTCGGAGGGGAGTTGGCTCAGCTGTGAGACGAGCCACTGTGCAGCTGGCTACCCCTTGGGGATCTTGAGGAACAAACTGCCCGTGAATCAACAAGTTGTGGATCATGGCCCAAGCCCTGCTCTGTCTTGAGCTCCTCTGGTTTGTTTTCTGAGTTCCTCCTTGTCTGGGAAGGGCCATCTCTGTGATGAGATGCAGCTCAATTCAACAGATATTCATGGAGCACCTGCTTTGCAGCAGGGCCCTGCACTGGGTGCTGGGGGTGGAGAGAGCCAGCAGATGTGGGGCCCCCCAGGAACCCACAGTCTAGTGGGGAAGAAGAGATGGAAACCTCATGTCGGTAGAACAAGGACCCTCCCCTGTGACGTGTCTACCTTCCCCAGCAGCAGCCTTGACCTGTGTTCACTGAACATGCACGTGCACACATGCACGCATGCACACACACGCACACGACTCCCTCTTCCCCCCTCTTTCCTATCATAGTGGTAGGACCTCGGAGACAGCCCCAGCCCTGTGTGCCTGACCCGTGCTCCACCTAGCCCTCTGTCCACAAAACCCCTGCCTGTGCTCCCCTCTAGGCCAGTTCCTTCCTTCCCTCCTGAATTTGTGGGTTCACCTTCCCTGCTTTTGCACTCCCCTCTGTAAGCCCATTTTGTTCTCTCATCAGTTAATTTTTGTCCGTGATGAATTGCCATTTATCAGTACAAGGGCACCATCCATATTTAATGCACATAGCACTGCACTTTGGAAATTTTAAGGACCCAGCTCTTAAGAGGGTATCGGTGGGACTCTCTCCCTCTGCCACTTGAGACTCCCCCTCTCAAGGAGGAGCAAAGTCCGGGGTGGGGGTCTTGGGTGGTGGTGAGCACACAGTTGGGCAGAGGAGCCCACTGGTAAAGGGGGGCCCACTGGTAAAGTGGGGGCCAGGGACGGGGGTCAGCTGGTGAGGCCCTCGTCTGCCACCAAGCCAGGGAGCTGGCAGTCAGCTCAGACCGAAGCAGTTTGGAGAACCTAAGCTGGCTCCGTTGGCAGTTTCCTAAAATGTGCTTCCTTGAGTGGCCCTTCCTTGCCCACCATCTGTCCTGAGGTTGCTTTGTATGGCTGAAGGACAGCAGTGCCTTCTGAGGTGCCAGCTGCAGCCCTGGGTGGGCATAGTGGTCCCGGGGCCAGAACCTGAATTCTCCTGGGTTTTCACTTCTTTTTTTTTTTTTAAAGATGACCGGTAAGGGGATCTCAACCCTTGGCTTGGTGTTGTCAGCACCACGCTCAGCCAGTGAGCTAACTGGCCACCCCTATATAGGATCCAAACCCGTGGCCTTGGTGTTACCAGCACCGCACTCTCCCGAGTGAGCCACAGGTCGGCCAGCTGGGTTTTCACTTCTGACCTTCACTCAGAGCCACCTGTGTGGACATGCTGAGCTGCGAACTTGCCATCAGTGATGACCCCGCCCAGCCAGTGCCCACAGCCCCAGGCCTTGGAGATGACATCCTTCCATCTCCCTGACCTCTCTGTAGCATTGGGCTCCAGGGGCTTTTCTTCCCTGAAGCTCCAGGAGTGAGAGGGGCAGGGGGCGTGGGGATGCAGTTGTTGTGTCCTCCTCCTCCCTGCCCTGTGGACCGGCCCGGGCCAGGTGCTCCATCCCCACCTGCCAGGTTGGAACAGCCACCAGCTGCCACCATGGGACCGTTCTCCAGTCCCCAGCCTGCTGCCCTTGCCTCCTTTGTGCAAGCCAGCAGGTCGGAATCAGGTGTTGGGATTTCACAGGGCAGTCACTGCAGCCTGTCTCAGCTCCTTCGGGTACTAGTGAAGAAACTGAGGCCCAGGGAGGACAACTAACTTGTTCCTGGACTTCTAGTAAGTTGCATAAAAGCCAGAGATTCATGGTCTTTTTCTTTCCACCTTCTAACTGCCACAAAACATTTCCCTCCATAATTACTGCAGAAGACCATGCAGCTGACTATGCTGAACTGCTGACCCTCAGGATCACCCCCGAATGAACCTCTAGGGAATGATCTTCTTTGTCCCGTTTGGGTCACGTCCTTGTGGGACCAAAATTGGGGAGCCACTGGCAAGGGACCCGCCAGACTGACATTTATCTGTCCTCTGACCCAACTGGGGTCTTTTTTTTTTTTTTTTTTACTTTAGCCAAAACAACTCATCAATCTGCGGCCACCCACAGGCTATCCTGTCTGTTCTCCCTGAATCGAATCATTATATTTTCCACTCCACACTTCTCTGCCCAGCAGTGGCAGGATGGGCAGGGGCCCAAGCTGGGGCACCCCCTGCAGGCCAAGGCAGGAGCAGCAGCTCCTGTGAGGCCAATCCCTGGACCCACGGTTTACCCAGGGCACAGCCTCTCCTGGTCAGGGAGACCTTATACTTCCATTTCTTGAAGCTCCCAGAATATTTAAAAAAGAAAAAAAAATAAACAGGGCTCCTGAGTTGTAGTATGTTTTAATGTTTACTTTGAGCAGAGTAACGCTTTTCACACCCACACAGAGCAGTGTGACTGTGCTATTCACAAGATAAGAGAAATTTTTTTTAAAAAAGCACAATGCACTAAAGGCTGGAAATGGGTTTAAGTTTACTGGTGAACGTGTTATTTTTTACCCCATCTGTGTTTTCCTGAATTGTGTGTTAGCCTCATTTGGGAGAAGGTCAAGAATTTAAATCTGAGGACGCCCTCCTTGGTGACTTTCCCCAGTTCTGGGCCTGGCCATGGGGTCTCCACACCTGGCTCTTTGGGGTCTGGGGTTACCTAGGTCTCTTTCCAGGTCCAATCTGGCAGAGGAGGTGCCTGGTTGTGCCGGAGGGACAGAGAGACAGAGACCAGTGTGGTTAAGATCATGGGCTTGGTCCCTGCGTGGGTCGGTTTGCTACAGTCTTCACACTGCCCCCTGCTGGTCATCGCGGAAATGGTTGAAGCTGCTCTGGAAGAGCAGATCTCAAAGCATGATCTAGGGATCTCTGGGGGTCCCCACCACCTTTCAGGGGGTCCACTAGGTCAAAGCCATTTTCACGATAATAGTAATAAGACTCGTGGTCTCATTCTCTCACAAATGTACAGAAAATGAAAAGTTCACTGAAATGGTTTCGGATAATACATTGGAACTAATCTTTAAGGAAACGACTGTCTCTTGAGTTTTGGTGCAGTATCAAAGAAAAATATCCACAATTATCTAGAAAGGTTATTAAAACGCTCCTCCCTTTTCCAATTATCCTGCTTATCTGTGAGACTCTGAATGTCCTTCACGGATTTTAAAAAAAAATCTTGCAAAAATTGGATGAAAGGTCAGACGTGAACATCCATCTGTCTTCTGTTAAGCCAAACGTTAAATTGATTGAGTTTAAAAACGTAAAACAATGCCGTTCATCTCACTAATTGCTTTTGTTATGAAAATATAGTTTTTTCCATAAAATATGTAAATTTTGTGAACATCTAATGGGTTTATTATTTTGAATGAATTAACAAAATTTTTAATTTCTCCATTTTAATTTCAAGTACAATAAATATCAATACGTATAGCCCATATATTTTGGGGTTCTCATTAATTTTTTTGTAGCAGCTTAATGAGTTGAATTCACACACCATAAAATTCATACTTTAAAAGGGTACAATTCGTTGGTTTTAGTATATTCACAAAATTATGCAACCATCACCACTGTCTAATTCCAGAGCGTTTTCAAAACCCCAAAACAAACTCATTAGCAGTCATTCCCCATTTCTCCACCCTTTTCTAGCCGCTGACAACCACTAATCTACTCTACTTGAATAGCCTTTCCAGATAATTGTGGATATTTTTCTTTGATACTGCACCAAAACTCAACAGATGGTAGTTTCTGTCTATAGATTTGTTTATTCTGGACATTTCATAGAAATGGAATCATGAAATATGTTGTCTTTTGCGACTGGCCTCTTTCTCTTAATGTTTTCAAGGTTCATCCATGTTATAGCAGGTGTCCGTCCTTCATTCCTTTTTATGGCCAAATAATATTCCATTGTATGGATATAACACATTTATCTATTAATCAGTTGATGGATATTTTTGCTGTTTCTACTTTTTAGCTTTTATGAGCACTTCTACTATGAACATTTGTGTACAAGTTTTTGCATGGACATATGTTTTTCAGTACTCTTGGGTTTTTACCTAGGAGTAGAGTTTCTGGATCATATGGTAGTCTGTGTTTAACATTTTGAGGAAATGTCAAATGAGTTTTCAACTTTGGTATTTTTTAAGAGTGTAAGGGTGAACCATTGGTCTAGATGGGATTAGACTAGAGGACTGGGGATAACTCAGTACAGCCCCTCATCCTTGCTGTAGGATTGAGATACCCTGAAACTCATCTCCCTCTCCCCCACCAACACACACACACACACACCCTTCAGAATGCACGTGCAGTATCCTCATAATAGATAACCAAAGAGTTGGTCTTGTCCTTGGTAGAAGGAGGAGGCCAGCTTAGCTAGACTGCTCACGTTAAACCTTCTGGAAGGTCTGGAGCAGGCTTGCCTCTTTACAGGATTCCTGGGGGCGCAGTTCTCATTGCAGTTCCTGTGGGTTGTGCTCCTTGGAATTGTGCCGGGTGACAGTCCTGGCTGCAGCTGCCGCTTCCTGCCCTCCTCTCTGCAGAGCACTGTGATCATAGCCTGGATGTCCTGGGGAGCAGAGCCTTGGTGCCTGGGGCCACCACTCCAGGTCACCCCGATTTGGGAGCAGTGCAGGGTTTGCCCGGGCCCCTCCTGCGAGTGACACCCTCAGTACAGCAGGGGCTGGACTAGGAAGGGGCAGGGAGGGCATGCCCATCAGGGCTTGCCAGCTGAGTTGAAAATGACTGAGGTGTGCCTCTTCTCTCCCTTCTGATTCTAACCCTTTGATGTCCTGCCAGTCATGGGCACTCTTGTCACCTAGTCACCCCTCCCGGAATGATGAGCCTTTTGAAAAGGAGCTTTGAAGGAGCAGTGCTTTGCTGGAGGAGTGATTCAAATGGTGAGATTCCAGGCATCAGAAGGGGAGACGTGTGGAGATAGCTTTGAACTGACAAGTGTCTGGTGCCCGGGTTCAGAGAGACCCTGTCTGCCCTCTGCACCCCAGCCAGTGACACACTGTTTTCTTTTTCCTTCTTCTCATCCCAGATGTGACTCCCGCCTGTGGCTGGTGCTCCAAACCATGGCCGACACCATCTTCGGCAGCGGGAACGATCAGTGGGTTTGCCCTAATGATCGGCAGCTTGCCCTGCGAGCCAAGTGAGTACCTCAGGGTCTGCCAGGCCTCGCCTTCCCCCCGCTTCCCTGCTTGCTTTGGCAGGAAAGAGAAGTTGGGAGAAAAGAGCATGTCAAATGTGCACCACGCTCCAGTCCCTGAGCCGGGCACTTAACAGCCATCCTCTCATTTAACCACCATACAGCATTTATCCCCATTTCTCAGATGAGGAAGGTGAGGCTGAGCTGCTTACTCACGTCACTTAACTTGTGAGTGGTGGGGCTGGGACCCGCACCTGGGTCTGTCTGACTCCCAAGCTGCATTTTTTCTATCACAGCAGGCTGCAGGGAACCAGACCACCCCTCTTCTCTTCTGTCATTGAGCCTTAAGTCCACGAGCCCCTTGAGGCAGGGAGCCTTTGGTCTCTGGGTGCTCACTTCACAGCCGAGTACCTGGCACTGTCGGGACAGAGCAAAGGTTTGTTGAATGGATGAAGTGCTGCCCCTTGGACTGAAACACACAACCAGCCTGTTTGCCCAGGTCTCTTCCACATTCTCATCAGGGTCTCTCTAGTTTCCTAGTTCTGGTCTGTCCACTTGGGAGTTGTAGTTTTCCTCAGCCTGGTGACCCTTCAGCTCCGGGTAGGTCAAGCCATCTCCATTGTGTCTAGAAATGGCAGGGGGTCCTCAGATGCCTCTTCTGCCTTCCAGTCCCTCCCCACCCCTCTGACGGGTTAGGCTCCCTAGCATCTGATAAATCTAAGAAAGCCCCTTCAACTGTCAAACCATGCCATTTACAGTAGGAGCCAGCATTTCCCGTATGGGACCAAGTTTAAGAAATTTGCAATTAGATGTTGTGGGTCTGCAGGGGGACAGAGCTGAAACTTCAAAGGGAGATAGTAAAATTAATCCAAAACACCAGGAGAAGTGGAATCACGCATGATTTGCAGAGAACTTTGTCCCATAGTTAATTTGTCCCCTTCCCCCAGATGGCTCAGCTCCCGTCAGCTCCTGCCACTGGCCCCTGCAGGGATGAAAGTGGTCCCTCTCTCTCTCTGTCTCCTCTGACATCAAGCAGATGATGTGTCCTACCCAGCAGGGTACAAGTGCTGGGGAGAGCTCAGCCACCTGTGCTCTTGGACAAGGCCCGGTGTGACCCCTCCTACCCCTCCAGTGTTCCCTTCAGTTCTCCCTGACCCCTGCTGTCTCTCAGCAGCAGCCAAAAGCTGTAGCACCTTTTAGAAGAGCGAATGCTTTTATCTCCTTCCCTGGGGCATGCTGCCTTGTAATGCCTGGCAAAGACGCCATAAAGGAAAGTAGTGCGAACCTTGCCTGCAGAGCCTGGAGCTGTGCCCCATGGGACACTCTGGAAAGCCTGGGGAAATGACCTTCCCAGCTCCAGCTCAGGGCTTCCCTCCAGTCCTCTAGCTGCCATCAAATATTTCCTAAGCCCCTACTATGTGCCAGGCACTGGTTGCAAGGTAATGGCCAAGATCAACCTGGTCCCTTGTCTTAAATCACAGAAAGGGAGGAGTGAGCATTATATGAATAATTACCCATGTGCAGCTACTTTGATGGTGACAACAGGCAGTGGGGGCATGGGGGATGCCAACTTAGTCTGGGGATCAGGATAGGTTTCCATGAGAGTGTGATGCTTACACTGAGACCCAGAGGAGGGGTAAATGTTAGATAAAAATATGGGGAAAGAGCCTCCAGGCAGAAGGAATGGCATGCACAAAGGCCCTGAGGTAGAAGGAACGTGCAGGTAGAAGTCCTGATGGGAGGCCAGTGTGGCCTGAGTGCAGAGAATGAGGTGGTGACTGGTGTGACAGGAAGATGGAGAGGTGGGCAGGGCCAGATGAGGCAGGGCCTGGTCCTCCAGAGACTCACATCCTGGAGGGGGAAGTAGAGGGTCCCACGTTGCCTTGAAATAATGTTTAAGCCTAGTGATGGACACATGCCCGGCCTTGTGGGAACTCTGAGAATGGGCTCTTAACCTGTTTTGGAGAGGATCAAGGAAAAGCCTCCTGGTGAAGGTCATGTCTAAACAAAGTCTTAAAAAGGAATAGGAGCGAGTAGGTGGAAAGAGGGCTTAGGGGGAGGGACAGGCACCCCAGGTGGAGGGCACAGTGCGAGCAAAGGCCTGGAGACAGCACGCAGCCTGTGACACAAGGGAACTGAGAGCAGTTGGTGAGACCAGGTGAGATGAAGGTGAGGGCCCCGTACCGGGGTGCACACAGATGGGTGCAGTGTCTCCTGGGTGCTGGGTGCCGCTAAGGGCTCTTCCCAGGGCTTGCAGCCCCATCTACATCTGACAGCCTTGAGCCTGCCTCCTTTGGCTGTGTGGAGGGGATACCGCAGGGGAGGACATGCTAAGTGACAGCCACGGCTGTAAGTGGGAGTTGGGGCCGGACCCAGACAGTGGGTCAGATGAGAAGAGGGAAATTGCTGGGACTTGGTGGGTGATCAGATGGAGGCGGGAAAGTTGGTGTGGAGGATGCCCTGGGGGAACCTGGAATACTCCCAGTCCTGGCTTCAGCAGCTGCTGGACATGAGCTCCCAGGCCAGGGTTCTGGCCTCTGGGTCAGCAGCAAAGCCTAGACCCTGGAGGCCGGCCAACCTGATTACCTTCAGAAGGCCATCTAGCCACACTCCGTGCCTTGTTTTCTCATCTGAAAAATGGGGAGGGATGCCTTGCAGGGTGACAGTGAGGGTCCAGCGAGAGGATGTCTGTGGTGCCCTGGGCTGGTGGCTAGGCCCAGAGCGAGCTCAGTGGGAGTCGTGCCCATTATGGTAGGTGGCAGTGCTGGTGCATGTGCCCTCCCTTCTCTGTGTTCCATTAGCTGGGGGGGAGGAGTGGGGGTGGGGAAGGGGATTCCCTGAGCATGGGGACCCTGGTTTCCAATTCCCCTCCCCTGACCCAAGGGGCCACACAAAGTGTGCCTTGGCCAATCACCGACCACTTGAGTTTCTGAAATGCTCAGGTGGAGCAAACAGGAGGGTGGGGCGGGGGTGTTGCTTTTCAGCCTGAACCCCCAGGTCTGTCCAGCTCACAGAGGAAAGACAGGCAGCCCAGGCAGAGGCTGCTACTCTGAGGACCAGCCTCCCTTCCCACTCCTCCAGCCCTGCCCCCCTGCCCCATTTTTTGCCTTCCTTAGCCTCATGAGGATTAGTTGAAAAAGTGTTAGTCTAGGGTGATGCTTTTTTTTTTTAAAATTGGAGAAATAGCAATCTAGAGATTTGGCCCCCAACATAGAGCATGTTACCTTATGCCTCCACACCTTTGCTGCATGCTTTCCTCTGCCTGAACGCACATCCCTTCGTCCCTTGGGGAGGCACCTATCTATCCTGCCAGCCTTGCACAAACACTGCCTCTTTGGTAAAGCCAGTCCTTGGCAGCCCTGCCCATGATAATTATAGCAATCATCATTAACTACCACCTATTAGGCAATGAGGCATTTTCTATATGCAAAGCACTTGACGTTCCCTGCCTCTTTCAACTTTGTGGCATCCCTTAATGAGACGGATCAGAAAATGGAGATCTGAGATCTCATACCTGGGAAAGGATGGAGCCATGAAGATAAAACCATCCAGCAGACTCCAGAGTCTGGGTCCTTCACCTTAACCAGCGGCCACACTTGCAGAGAGAAGATGTGCTTTTTACTCCCCAGGCTTATCCTGTGTCGGTCGTGCAAGATCTGTTAGCTGCAATAGCCCGGACAAGGCAGTGACGTGTGATCACCAGTATCAGTCTATGTGGCAGGGAACCCCCAGGAAAGTGACCACACACCTCATCCTCCTGCCCTGCGTCCTGCTTCAAGGACTCTTGTGGAATTGATTTGGCATTTGTCTCCCCACCATATTGTCGGTTCCTCAAGGCAGTGTTCACCTTGTTCATCTCTGTATTCAAAGCACTTGGCACAGAATGTCTCCAAGAAGCTGGGACCCAGGGCAGGAGTGTAGGGCATGGTCTGCTGCTGCCACTTGCTCCCTATCCAGAAAAATAGAAAAGGTCTGAGTTCTTCCCCTGAGCCCCCGGTCACAGCCTCAGGAGGTGTCCCTCCTGTAGCCAAGTGGAGCAGAGACAGCTGACCTCACCGTCCTGCCTGCCCTCCATGTCTCCTCTTCTGTAACTTTACTTCCCCTCCTGCCATTGAACCTGTTGGTTTTCAAAATGCCATGTGAATCTCCTTATATCCTCAAGTTTTGGGTTTTTTTGGTTGTTTTTTTTTTAAACCTAATTACAATTTTTTCCTGTCCTGTGGTACCTCCATCTCACTTTCTGGAACTTAGGTCTAAGTTTTCATTCTTGGTAATCTTCTGTGCTCCTCCCTTTGAAACCTCGTGTGCCGTGACATTGGCCTCATCCATTTTCAGTGGTAGGATTCCATGACCCTGCCTCCTGGGTGCCAGGATGGTGCTGCTGTCTTTGCCGAGGCCCTGCAGCTGACAGATGGCAGAACTGGCACTTAGAGCAGTGTCTGCCTTGTTGTCCACCCCTCTGCCCCAGTCACAGCACCTGAGCTGGTCCCCAGACTGTTCTAGAGGTCTTTGTGGACATGGTGGGGGGTGCTGGTTTGCACCGGGGAGGCCTTCACGCCATCTTGTTCTTTCCCGAGGCTGCAGACAGGCTGGTCCGTGCACACCTACCAGACCGAGAAGCAGAGGCGAAGCCAGTGCCTCAGCCCAGCAGAGGTGGAGGCCATCCTGCAGGTCATCCAGAGGGCCGAGCGACTCGACATCGTGGAGCAGCACAGGATTGGGTGAGGGCTGGGCCTGGGCTGGGCAGGAGCGAGCTCAGGAGGAAAGCAAGGGCGTGTCATGCCAGCCCAGCTGGTGGCACTCTGGGTCTTGGATCTGCCTTTCACCTCTGGGAATGGGTCAGGAGGTCCCCAGCTTCTCTGCGTGAATGCCCCTGGAGTATGGGCATGCACCCAACCTGTCAAAGCCTCAACATACCCCTCTGTAAGATGGGGATGGCAGCTGAGGTGTGGGCCCCGGGCTGGGGGTGTGAATGAGCAGGGTGGACCGCATTAGGGGCTGTTGGGCTCGGCACACCCACAGGTCAGTTTGGTTCAGCCCAGGCAGGGATTCAGGTGAAGCTGTGCCGGGAACCGCCCGTCTAGCAGGATTCACTCTCCAGCTCATTCTGGGCCCTTCTCCTGGCCTCCAGTGTCCAGAACTGACCACTGCCTAGTCTTCCAATGTTTTGTGTCTTTTTGCTTGTTTAATCATAAAAGCAATTCATATCTCCTAGAAATTCTGAAAAAGACAGAAAAGCACAAGTAGGAAAACCCAAATGCGGTACATTGCATTGGGCAGGAATTAATATGATTTTAGTCTCCTTGTTTGTTTTTTGTTTATCCCTTTCTATTAATTATCTGACCATTTTTTAAGAATCAGACATTGTAGAAATATACAGGCTTAGAAAGTGAAAGTGCCACTATAAAGATCACTGCTGTCCTGACAGTTTGCTGCGTGTGCCTCGGTAATAAGGACATATTAGTATCATTTTAGTACAAAAAGGGTTTATATCAGACTGGTTGTATTTTTGCTTTTTTTTTTCCATCTAGCCTGGCTGGGTCCCACCCTCTCAGATCTACACCCTGAGGGCCCTGCCAGGCCCTCCGCTCTGCCAGGAGCTTGTGCAGAGAGCAGGTGGAGGGGGTTTCATGGTGGGCCCCCCTGTGCTGTGGAAGCATTGGCGGGCCCCTCAGCCACAGGGACTGCTGTCCTTGCCTTCCCGGTGCCACCTGAGGGAATCCCTCCACTACTGGCCCTGGCTGTGAGTGCTGGGCTTGGCAGGGGCCAGAATGACCCAGAAGGCAGTGCCTCAGTTTCATTGTTCGCATGGAGGAGGGGTGTCCTGTGTGTTTATGTGAGGCATGGAGATGTGGGGTTATATAGACAGAGGGTCCCCAAGAGCAAGTGGGTCATGCTGGGGCTGGAACAGCGTTTGCCCCCAGACTCTACAGGCTCCTAGGTGAGGGATGGTGAATCCCTGTGGCAGCCAGAAGTGCTCGCTGGAGGGCATGTGGGTAGAAGCAGCCTCACTGCCCAGGCTGCCATCCGTCATCACCCCAGGGGAAAGAATCGGGGGGGAGAGTGTGATGACCAGGGGAGCCTGAGCCAGACAGGCCTGGGGGAGGACCCTGGCTCCACCTCTTGGGAGTGACTTCTCATCTCTGAGCCTCAGTCTTCTCATCTTTAAAATGGGAAAAATAGCATCCTCTTCATCAGGGGATTGTGACAATTAGAGGACAGAATGCGCCCGTACTTTGTCCTTCATTCACTCAAGAGTTTTCACCAAGAGTCCATTGGGTACTGGAAATTTAGTGGCCAGGAAGACACAACCATTTCAGGGAGGTTGGAGTGTTTCATCACCTGTTGTTGTGGGACAGGTTACGGTGTGCTGTGGCCGTGGGGCCCGAGGAGAGGCCCCGTCCCAGGCTCAGCAGGTCCAGGGAAGGCTCCTGGGTCCTTGACATTGAAAGGTTTCAACGAGGGGCTGTTTTTTCTTTCCTCCTCCAGCTTCTCCATTTGCACAGTTGCTCGAACCAAAAGCCTCTACGTCATCCTGGATCTTTCTGTCACCTCCCCCCAACCTCCAGTCCACCGCTGCTGCCTCTGAAATGCAGCCTGTCCCCTTATCCCAGCTTTCCACAGAAGCTGGAGTGAGCTTTAAAAATATCACTTGGATCAAATCACTCCCCTACTTAAAACTCTTCAGTGGCTTCACATCAATCTTAGAAAAAATCCAAACTCCATCTTGTGACCTACAAAACCCACGTCATCTGGCCCTGCTCGCCCCTCCAGCTCACTTCGTCCCAGTCTCCCTCTGGCCTTCATCCTTCCAGCCCTGAGCTTGCTGCTGCCTGTGCCTGGAATGCTTCCCCCAGCTCTTGTCATTCCTCAGCCCTCTGTTCAGATGTTCCCCTCACCGATCACCATCTAAATTGCCTTGTCCCCTCAGTAGTCCTCCCCCACTATTTTCATTTCGTGGTGATTCTTCCTAACTGAAATCAGTTTACTCGTTTACTCGTTTACAACTCTCTCCCTTATTGAACATAAGCTCCGCGAGATCAGGGACCATGCCTGTCTCTGGTCACGTCATAGGTTCTGGCACATCATGGGTGCTCAGTTAACAGTTGGTGAGTGAATGATTAGCAGTTGCCAAGCGGAGGGGTGGGGAAGGAAACAATGCCCTAGGTGAGAGAGCAGCACATGCGGCATGGTATAGTGTTGGGGCCCCTTAGCAGTCGTGCCCAGGTAGAGGTTGGGTTGGAGACAGGAGGCACATCCCCTCTGACACCATGTCCTGTGCTGCAGGCGGCTGATGGAGCGGCTGGAGACCATGAGGCGGAACGTGATGGGAAACGGCTTCTCCCAGTGTCTGCTCTGTGGGGAGGCGCTGGGCTTCCTGGGCAGCTCATCGGTGTTCTGCAAAGACTGCAGGAAGGTAAGGCCCTGCTCCAGCCCTCAGTTCTGGCTTCCAGGTTGGACCAGCTCTGTTGATCTGTGGCTTTGCATCCTGGCTCCCAGAAGAGAGAGAGAGAGAGGGAGTGTGTGTGTGTGTGTGTGTGTGTGTGTGTGTGTGTGTGTGTGTGTGTGTGTGCACATGCACAGGATATCCTCTGCTTCTTGGCAAGAAGAACCAGCGCCTGAAAATCAGATGGCCTGGCTTCTAGGGCCAGCTCTGGGAAGGGGACCTTTGGGTCTCACAGACTGGGTATGAATCCAGCTCTTCCGCTAGCTGTATGACCTCAGAAAACTTGTCTAGTGTCTTAAGCCTCATCCTCCTCATCTGTAAAATAGGGGTAATAACATATCCCTGAGAGAGCTGTGAGGATTAAGTATTATTAAATGCAAAACTCTTAAAACCTCACCTGGCACCTAGGCACTTGATAAATATTACTAGCTATAGTTCAATACTTACTATTTGCTGCAGGACCACGTAGTGTGCTTGGACTGCACTTGCTGTTCTATTGGGCTGCTCTCTCGATCCCTGGCTGCTCAAAGGAGAATGATCTTTGCAGCAAGATCTTATAGATTTTCTCCTTTATATTAATTTGTGTCACATATTAAATTGTTTTGTATTGAGCCCAAGACTTTTAAAAATATAACTTTTTAGTTTTTCCTGGGGTTTCTCATTGTTTTTCTTTTTCTCATTGCCCAAAGAATACTGTGCTTTCCAATCCTCAAGACATTTCAGCATCTGGATTTTACTCTCTGTTTTATGGAGCCTACTTCTTTTTTCCTGGCAGAAACCCTTCTAGATTCTTATTCCCGCTGCAGCCTAGATGAGTTCCTGCACAGCTATTATCTGGGGCCTCTTCGTTGCTGCCCTTCTAGGTTACAGACACTATCCCCAAGATGTCACATGTTCTTTTCGTTTTTACCCTACTTTTGCTGGAACCCATCCTCAAGTAACTTCCATGTGCCAGTCACTGTTTTTTTTTTTTTTAATTTTTATTTTTTTTTCCTTTTTGTCTTTTTTTGTGACCGGCAACGGATCGCATCCCTCAGTGTCGCGCCCACGCCTCGCTCAGCCAGTGAGCGGCCGGTCTGTATGTGGGATCCGAACCCGCGGCGGGAGCGCCGCCGCACTCTCAAGCGGCGCACTGTAGCAGTGCGCCCCCGGGCCGGCCCCTGCCAGTCCCTGTTTTTTTTTTTTTAATTTTTATTTTTTTTTCCTTTTTGTCTTTTTTTGTGACCGGCAACGGATCGCATCCCTCAGTGTCGCGCCCACGCCTCGCTCAGCCAGTGAGCGGCCGGTCTGTATGTGGGATCCGAACCCGCGGCGGGAGCGCCGCCGCACTCTCAAGCGGCGCACTGTAGCAGTGCGCCACCGGGCCGGCCCCTGCCAGTCACTGTTTTAATCCTAGAGTTATTACAGTGAACGAGAGAGGAAGAGTTTTCTCTCTTGAGATGACATTGGGTGAGAGAACTAAAAAACAAGTAATGATCAAATAAGACGATTTCAGGAAGTAATAAATTCCAAGAAGAAATAACAAGGGGTAGAAGACTGGGGGTGGGGTGGGGAGGTGAGGGTCGAGAGGATTGTAAAACAGGGAGAAAAGGGTGAAATAGTCAAAGAAGGAAACGTGGACATGGAACATCAAGGAATTGGCAACCTTGACAAAAGCATTTTCAGTGGCATTTAAAAGCTGGATGAGAAAACCAAACTGCAAAGATATTAATTAATAAGTGGGAAAACTGGGGATTCAGCTACAGTCATTTTTTCCCTCCTCTGTCACACATGGTGAACTGGGCTGGGGAACGTGGATTAATTGGTACAAGAACAGTGGAGGTGTGACAGGGTCCCGGGTGTCAGGGTGTGTGTCTCCTCCTTCCGCCCTCCATAGGCCCAAGACTAGAGACCAGTGTAGGTAGTGGGCACAGGGACTTGGGAATGTCTTGCTGTCAGGACTTGGGCAGGTGGGGTTATGTTTTGTGACTTCTGCCTAGCAGAACAGGACCCAGCAGCCTATTCGCTCTTTCCATCTCTTAATCCCACAACTGCTGTAAATATTGCAGGTTTGCAGGGACCACAAAGAAGGACACAGCCTTATCTTTTTCCCCTGGAAAAGTCCAGGGCCTCTGCCACCGAGGCGGCTGCTGCCCCTGGCTGCTGAAGGATTAACAGCAGCTGCTCCTTGGAGAGGCATTTCCTGGGCAACAGAGGCAGTCCCACGGGAGGACCTCAGCTGGGTGTGGGGTGCAGACACTCTCACCAGCGCTCCCCGCGGTGCCCTAGAGCACTGGGCTGGCCTGGCGGACATTTCCACTTGAAATGGTTCTTATCTTGCAGTAGGCTGACAACTTGGGCGGTGAGGTGGAGGAGCCCTTTGAGTTTCTGAGGGGACTTGTTCCAGAATAAAGGTGGTAGGAGAGGGCATTAGATGGGGCCATAGCCTAATGATGGGAATTTAGGGGATTTGTTGCGGAGGGGGGGGGGGCGGGTCTTTGAGAAGATTGTTATTCATTCATATTCATATTCATTTGCTCTTTAAATAGTAGAGGGCCCACTATGTGCAGGCCCTGTTCTATGCACTGATGATACTGTGGACAAGATAGACCTTGCTCTCAGGGAGATCATTTGCCAGGGTGGGAGAAGAGAGATAGCCAACAAATGAATAAATATAAAATAATGTCAAGTAGACTGAGGGCTCTATACTCAATTAAAACAGAGTGACGTGGTAGAGTGTGACTGGTGCTTAGGGAGGGCCTCTCTGAGCTCTCAGGCCTGAACACAGCAAGAGCCGGCCCCAGGAAGATCTGGGTGGAAAAGTGTTCTGGGCAGAGGGAACAGCAAGCACAAGGGCCCTGAGGCAGAAACCAGCTGGGCATGTGAAGGCTTCTGGGACAGAGGGAGTGAGATGTGGGCATGGCTGATTACACAGAGCTTCGTAAGTCAAGGTCAGGAGTTGGGATTTTATGGTAAGTTTAATGGGATGCCAGAGGGGTATGTTAAGCAGGGATGTGATGTGATCTGATTTGTGTTTTTAAGAGATGACCCTAGCTGCTGTGTGTCGAGTGCATTGCAGGGGGGCATGGAGTGAAAGCAGGAGACAAGTCAGGTGGTGATAGCTGTCATTGGGAGATGACGGGGTTGGGGACAAGGACACAGGGATGGAGGCCATGCGCTAAGAGAGAGTGTCAATCTCCTCAGTGTGTTCTGAGCAGATGGGGAAGAATTAGAGGGGGTGAATGAGGGTCCCAGGAAGGAAAGAGTCCTAGACTGCAACGTGCCAGGGCAAGAGGTCACTTGGTCTATTCTGCACAGTGAGGGGCATTAGGTCCCCTAGGCTCACCCAGTAAGTACTGTTCCCATGCAGGTGCCATGCAGAGCCTGGGGCTCCTGACTGATGGAAGGGGCTCCTCCTGCACTCCCAGCAGTGCCTCCATGTCCTGAAGGGACCTGGAAGGACCAGGTTCCCTCTTCCCTCACTGCAGGATCGTGAGGTGGTTGTGCATGGAGCTGTGGGGACAGACAGACTTGGGTTGTGTTCCCAGCTCAGCCACAGCAGAGTGACCTTGTACAAGTCACTTCAGCTGTCTGGGCCTCTGTTTCATCATCTGTAAAATGGGTTGATAAAGCTTCCATCACTGTTGGGTGGGCGTGATGAGTAGATTAGCTAGTGCTGGGGAAGCCCTTAGCAGAGCACCCGTTCCACTGCAAGTACCCGGTAAAGGTACCTGTTGTTATTATTGTCATTGCTGTTATTATTAATCCACTGCAGGGCCCCATCTGTTCAGCCTGCACACATGTTACAAAGGATGGAGCTGATCTCCTGTATATCTCAGAAGAGGCTGAGTGACTCCCCATGTATTAGTTGGTTTGGGCTGCCGTAACAAAATACCACAGTCTAGGTGCCTTAAACCACAGATGCTAGTTTTCTATTAGTTTTGGAGGTTGGGAAGTTCAAGATCAAGAGGCTGGCTGATTTGGTGTCTATTGAGAGCTCTCCTCCTGGCTTGTAGACGGCCACCCTCTCCGTGTGTCCTCACATGGCACAGGGAGAGAGCTCTGGCCCCTCTTCCTCTTCTTATGAAGACACTAATCCTATGGGATTAGGGCCTCACCCTTATGACCCTATTTAACCTTAATTATTTCCTAAAGACCCTGTCCCCAAATATAGTCACGTTGGGGGTTCAGTCCATAGTACCCCACATTCTTCTCCTTATTGGAATTCATGTTTTCTTCACCTTAAAAATTAGAGCTCCCACAGTTAGTTCCATATGAGGGTACTTCAAAAAGTTAATGGTAAGACTTGTAGTATCTTTTAATTATGTTTCTTGGATTTTCTATAATTTATTTACAAGCCTCTGGCAGCCTTTGTAGCATTCTAGCATTGGATGTCCTGAGCCAGCAGGGAAACCCCTCAGTCTTTGTGCAAGTACTTCATAGCACCCAGTCACTTATTCAGCCTGTTGTGTGGGAATCCTGGATTTGGGGAATCAAGAAGAGGTGTCCAGAATGGTTGCTTCTCTCAGGTCCTGATGGTCAAGGTGGACAGACAGTGTTCCCTAGAGTGATGCTCACCGTGGCTGGGACTGGGGTTCCCAGGACTGAGAGCAGGCAGGAGAGCTGCTGGAGGAGCTGGCCCCTGAAGCCTGGGCAGCTTCTGTGAGGCCGAGAGTGGAGCGCAGAACATCCAGGGAGCAGGGGACATCATGGGCTGGGCACGTGCCTGGCTGTGAGGATGCAGGTCTGGGGACAGGAAGGTATGTGCTGAAGGAAGAGGCACACAGGCTGTATGAGATCTTGGGAACCAGAGGACACGGTGACTACAGGGGTGATGTCCTGGGGACCAGAGGACACAGGGCAGAGCTGAGATCTTTGAGAAGCTAAGATAGATGGGGCTTGTTAGAAGGGAGAGTCTTCTGGGGGATAAGCCACATTTGAGCAGAGAATGGACAGGTCTGTAGGGCCCCGGTCCTCTGGGAGATGATCAC